CAAGACTACCACCTGTATCAAGCTTGTAGGTTCACGGTACCCTGTTGTTCTTGCCATCATCCCATTAGAGGAATATAACATCGTCGTACTGCATTACAACTAACACAACAAGACTACTCTAATCTAACACATAGTCGTAAACTAACGGTACACTAGTATTCTACCCTACAATGTACATACAATTTCACATGTAATATAGTGAGGAATCCCTCTCGTACAGTTTAATGGTCATCTACTAAAACCATCCGTATGCATTTCATAACTATTAACCAGTATGTCGGTTTTTCTGTTACTCGTAGCCACAACTAGCTACACTGATACTTTGTTATTCGCAACAAATACAACTAAATTAAATATTTAATATGCATAGTATGACTTAGTTATAATTCAGCTAAATCAACTCGTCAATCTACATAACAATATCCTATTATAAAGATTCAACTATACCAACTCACCATAACTCTCAACCGTACACAACTCTACATGCTCTAAACCCATAACATAATATTTTACAATTTATGAATTTGCTTCTAAAAATGTTAATTTTATGAAAGTATAATAGATGAATTTGCTTCTAAAAATGCAAGAATATGTTTAGAAAATTCTAATATGTTGGTTGTTTATCTTTTTTCGGAAAGTTTTTTATAACAATTTCAACCTATTACTAAAGAGTGAAGACTCGTATGTGGTGCTAAAGTAAGAAATTTACATGATGCTTGTTATCAACTTTAAGTGTTAAAGAATTTACTTAATAAAATATTACAAAAATATTATGGGGCCACAATTTTATTTTCGCACAATGTCTTCAAAATGTCAGGACCGAGCATAATCGTGAAATAGATTATACATAGTTCGTTGCCATTTCTAATGATTGCTTCATAAGTACATCGCTATGCTTGGCGCTCCTGTTTTTGTTGGGTCCTTGGTGGGTCTGATGGTTCTCTACATCTTGTTTTTGCCTATTTGGTAGCATTATTTTAGGTGTTGTTTGTTTTTTTGAAGCAAGAATTCATGAAGTCTGCGGACCACTTCTGTAATCCTCTGCAACAGAAGAGATGGACCAAATGACTGCAGACTGTAATAAGAAGCGTGCTTGTTTTTTAGCATCTGCATGCTGTTGCAGATATTACAAAATTAAAATAAACTAATTTTATATACCGAAAATAGTTTTTGAATACCGAAAATTTAATAATGTATAAAATTTCAGCAAGATTTTATGATATTTCAACAAAAAAAATAATAATGATATTTCAGCAAAAATAATGATATTTCTGCAAGAAACTATCATTATTCAATATAAAAAAACGAAAAAAATAATTAAGCAAAAATAAATAAAAAGAACGAAAAAAAGAAGGTGAAACAAGAATTCAACAATGTATAATCATGATTTATCAAGATTTCAACAAGAAAAAAAAGAAGAAAAGGTTGGAAGAGGCAATACAAGTGCTGCCCTAAACAGAACACGCACATATGTTTTTTACTCCGAAGACTTCTAAAAAACAAACTGCGAGATAAAATGTGTTGCCGGTGTGCTGCGTCGCGCAACAATAAAAGGTCGGAAAATATTTTTTTACAAAAAAACAAATAACACCTTATTGTTTTGGTGTCTCTTCAACTTGTTTTTATCTTTGTTGTGTTTTACTCTAATTTTGAATTTTGCTAGCATCTCCCTAGTTTTTACGTATATATTTTTTCCGTTTAAGAAAATTATGACCATCACATCTCTGATGTATCCTAGAAAATATTTCTTCCATGAAAATAATTTTTTTGTATAAATATTTCAATTCTAAGTTTTTGTTGCACAGCTAACAATAACAAAAAAACAGAATGTTAGTATTCATAGAACTTTTAGTAGGTTATTCTTCATATTTGATATTGCTATTCAAGAACGTTGTTATAAAAAAAAAATTCAAAAATAAATATATAAATAAATTAATTAATAAGACGGAAATATTGGTAAAACAACTAAAATATATATTATATACATTTTTATAAAATAAAATAACAAAAATGATGGGGAAAATAAATAAAAGTCATTATATTTTGATTATTTTGTAGTTAAACCATTATATTTAAGTTTCGTCAATAAATGTCAACAAATTTCAATAACTTTTTTTTATCTCCACCATTTTCACATACTATCACCAGCTAAAGAAGGTCAAAGTGGAAACAATATAAAATTGTCGCTCTTTATAGGCTTAAGTGGAACAATGTCAAAGTTTAATGTCAAATTTTTTACTTAAGGAACAAAATTTTGATAAAAATATATATTGTAACCATTTTAACCTATAGTATTAGAGCATTCACAATCATCCACCTCATCTTTAGCTTTTTGTTTTAACACACCATTTTCAACTAACTTTATGAAGCACAAACCAATTAACTTAAACAATCTCTTGATTATTTTAGAAAATATTTTTCAATAATTTGTTAATTTTATACAAACATTAATATTTCTAAATGAAATATTACATGAAAAAACATTTAATTAAAATAATTTATTATAATATGGAAATTTTGATAGTTAAATGAAACAAAATAAATATATTATAGCACGAGACACATAAAATATTAGACATAACCATGTTTATGGAAACACAATGTCACGAAAAGCTAAAACTATTATTTAATATTTGTTGAAAGAAATTAGTTAGTTAACAAATAACAAAGATTTAAAGTTAAACTACAATGTGGGAATAAAATAAAATATTATTGATTAAAAGGAGAATTAAATTCATTAAAAACAAACTCAAAAAACCTTTAATTCACATCAAGTTGGACTATGCTAAAAAAAATGTCTTTAAAAAGATAGATTTGTGGTTGATTTCTAAATATTCGAGTTGGTTGAATGATAGATCAAAGTGGTCAAAATATATATATATATATATATATATATATATATATATATATATATATATATATATATATATATATAAAAGAGTAGTTTTTATTAAAAAAATATAATATAATGAGTTAAATTACAAAAATAATCAATGTTTAATAATTTTTATGTAATTCATGTAAAAATAAAAAGATAGTTAAACAAAACTATAGTAGGAAGTTTGAGTTCGTGAGTCAAGTGGTATAACTAGAGGCAACTGAAAAGAGAAATTAAATATCTTTTTATTTTTTTTTCATATTTATCGTCCTATCATATTATATAATAACAAATGTAATTGAAAATTATTAAATTTATTAAATATGATAAATGTCACAATCTTAAATGTATAGAAAGATGATACGAATAAAATGTAGGATTTGATTTTAACAGAAAATTTGTCAAAAATCATGCGTTTTCATATTTGCCATGGTTTTTAGCATATCAAATTTTTCTTATTAATTTTTGAGTAAATTATACGAATGGTCCCTATGGTTTGGGTAATTTGCGCGCTTGGTCTGTAACTTATTTTTTAACTCGGAAGGTCATTACTGTTTGTTTTTGTTACGCGTTTGGTCCCTACTGTTTGTTTTTGTTACGAGCTTGGTTCCTGTCTTATCGAAAAAGATTATTATTTAAATAGGGAAAAATGATGGGGTACCTAAGGTAAGGTGAGGGGATGAGGTTGGGGGTGTGTTTATTTAAATAAATTAAAAAATCAAGGACAAAATAGTCTTTTTAGGTAGGACAGGGACCAAGCGCGTAACAAAAACAAACAATAGGGACCTTCCGAGTTAAAAATAAATAAGTTAGGGACCAAATACGCAAATTACCTAAACCATAGGGACCATTCATGTAATTTACTCTTAATTTTTTTAGATAACATCAAATAAAATTTCTTTATATTTTATCCTTCTATCTATATAATGATAGATTGTCTGCCAACTAGACATAATCTGGTTAACCATGGTGTGGATATTCCTTCTATTATGTTTTCTAGGTGTGAGAATCATGAGGAAGTCTTCATGTCATTTGTTCATCAAATATGAGATTGCAAAATGGAACTCTAATGCAATCTTCAAGTGGATGGACATTACATATCTAAGTTGGAATTGGCGATTTACACATGTCTACAAATAGGAAATTACACGGCTATGGAAGCAATTGTGATGACTACTTGGGTGGGTGCTATGACAATTTTAAAACTCTACATTGTTTGCTTATAAAAACAAAAGAAAGATGTTATTTTTTATTCTACAGTCATAGTTCTTATAATTGATTTATAAATAAAAATAATAAAACTGTCATAAATTGAGTCGATTGGATTCAAAACCTAACTCTTTTGTTTCCATTATTATGGATTTAAAACCTAGCTCTTTGTTTCCTTTATGGAAATAAACTCCAGCTCAAGTCATCGTGTTAGTCAACACTTTTTCATATTTTCATTAAATATTGTCGAATCAAGTGCTGATAAATAAAAAGTGATCTAGCAACCTACTCAAAAAGTTGATCCGACAAAATTTAAATAAAATGGTTGCTTTTAAAAGAAGAGTGGGTTGCGTTGAAAAGAAAAACATTGCATAGTTTAATGATTCTTTTTTTTGGGCTTTCCCTATGAAATATACAATATTGACAAAATTTTGAAAAAAATAAAATAAAATGGAATAATCATTGAAGCGCATGGAGATCTTGAATTTGGTTGTTTACTTTTATTAATCTGACCATAATATGTTCTATTCCCAATTTACAATTTACAATGTGTATGAAAACTTAAAACTTTAATTACAATGAGCTACTATATTAAATATATTTAATAACTGGAAAAACAGTTAGTTAACAAACCAAATAACTCCACCCATAAATCAGTTAACTTGTCTTTTCCATTTCTACTCAAAATTAAATCAAAAAAACATCGAACCAAAACATATTTTTTTATTCGATTATACCATCCACAGGACCACAAATATCTACATGATCTAAAGACACACGCCGCAAATATGAAACATATTCCTGTTACAATCACATCAACATCAAACCAACTCTTACTTGTACCACATTCCATTTGTCCAATGACATCAATTTTTCGATTTATCCTATGTTATACATAAAAAAATCTTTCTTCCTCACGTTGGCAATCAAATCAAAACTTTATCTTAAAACAAAATGTACATATTTTTACTTGTCACCCCAAAAACACACCAACAAAACAACCAATCAAAAACCCACCAACAAACTTTTTCCGGTCAACATTTCCGGCTGTTCTAAACTTAAACTAACACTTTCCGGTTAACATTTCCGGTGGTTTCAAAACTTAAACTAACACACAACATATTCATATTCAAATCTGAATAATGTACATGACATCGGCAGCCAAAGGTGGTGGTGCTACATATCCCACCCATCCTTCCGCCTCTTGAACTCCACTTTTTCCGATAACCCACCATACAACTCTGTAAACTTTTCCAAACACTTGCTCCTCACCCGATAATGCGATTGTGTATTTTCACTAATAGCAACCCCTGAAAATTTTGATGTGTCAAAACTCCAAGAAGGTTTCACGTATTCAACAGTGGGCCCCGAAGACGTAGCATTCACGTACAAGAAGTTCATCAAAACATCCTCACAATTAAAAAGCTCGTCTACTGCCTCCCGCCCGACCCGTGCTTCTTCACTCCAATACAGCCCGAACGCTGCCCGATGATCCATAAACGCCGCCCCGGTCAAAATCATGTTATAACCGTTAAACTTCCGCGCATGTTTCTCAGCGCGGTAGGTCAACGGGCCAGGCCCGTTGACCAGACGCGGATAGAACCCGACTAAACGGTCTGGGTTCTGTCTCCAGACTTTGAAACCGCGTTCAATATAGTCGCAACTCATCATGATGTCATCATCTAGCTCAAGGACCGCTTTGGTTTTAATCAACGGATCGAGTTTGAACCGGTTGTTTAACGAGTTCTTTGACTCGACTCGGATCCTAACCGGGACCGCCGAGTCAAACTCAGTAATGTCCGGAGGCATTCCTTTGTTCCAAATCACCACAATTTCACGAACCGATGAACACCGAGAGTAATGTTGGATGTACCATTTTAAGTTCCATAACCTAGCATCGTAGGTCATGGCTAAAAGGGTAAATTGGGAATAATGGTGGTCGACTGAATATGGCTCTCGGGCCCCACTTCCACCGTATATGTACCCAAGCCCGACACACATTAACACGATCGAACCGATTAAAATAACAATAAACGCGAACCGCCCAAGACTCGTTTTAGGGTTCATCTTACACCGCAGAACCGCGGTCAACCGGTTTAACCGCGTGCAATACTGTCGTACCCTAGACGACAAATGGCTCGATCTTTCCCAAACGAAAAATGCATCGGTTCGTTTCTTGATATTATGCGGGCACCAACTAAGTGGGACAATACACCGAACAAACCCTAGCAACATACCCATGATTAACACAAGCAAGCCCGTAGAAAACAACAACAATGACCCGATGATGAACCGATGGGACATGTCCCCGGATGCGGTCCGGTCCCCATCGGACACTGCGATCCATTGACCGGATGGTAACTGTTGTGTGTCCAGATGGTGGGACCGGGCCCCGTTCCACGCGTTTCGTTCTTTTGTTGGTTTTGGAAGCCCGAATTCCACTTCAACTTCTCGGTAATTATACGGGGTTAAAACTTCGATTTTGAAAACACGAACACGTTTCCCGTATGTTTCACCATCATCTTGACCTAATCGGTAGACATTTTTGTTGTAAACAAAGGGTCGACCTCCGTTTCGGGCTCCGGTTTCTTTATCGGTGTTGTAAACCGGGTTTTTTTTATGCGGTTTCCATGGCCCGAGTGGCGAGCTATACCATATTTCGAGTTCACCGTTTTTCTTTGTGGAGACTCGGGTATGATCCGACCCGAAAAGGTAGTATCTTGATTCGTATTTTATGATGAATGAATCGATTAGAGGTCTTTTCAAGATGACTTTTTCGAGTTCCCATTTTAATGGGAAGTTGACAGCTCGATAAAGACGGAGGTCGCCCTTTTTACTTCCTTCTGGCATCATGTAGATCTGTATAAAATATATGATAGTATTAGTGATCAACGAAGAAAACAATGGAGATTTTAGCTTTTTGTGTTTGTAGAAAATAGAAATCATACTTGATCATTGTAGTCGAACACGTATGGATATGAGAGATGCCATTCTTCATCTAAAACGACTCCCAGCTGTTCCCAAGAAGCTCCATTATCGATGCTTTTGGCGACTCCGATGTCACCTTGCATGGTGATCGAATTCTTGGTTTCGAAGAACAAGTACAATACATCTCCCTGAAACATAGGTTGACTTCAATGGTCAAACTAACTGTTTTTTTTCGTAATTATATAATCATATTATATATAGAGAGAATTTTCATTTGATTTTAATATAAGAGAAATATTAAAATTAAAAAAGGTAACACACGAGAGAATACAGAAAATGAGCTGTACTCTTAATATTACTTTATAATAATTTATTGGTATTTATTATATATCCTTATAATGATTAAACTATTGTATATTTGTATTGATATTTGTTACAGATTTTACTCCTGAATTAGTATTATAATCAATATAAAAGGTAATAGTCAAGATAATTAAATTCATTTATAATAATTTATTAATTTATGCTTCTAGATTTTGCTGTTTTCCAAACGAGGTGACGGAAAGAATATTTTTTTTTTCAAATGGTCATAAAAAACATGATAATTTAATCATCAAAATTTGGAAAAAAAAAAAAAAAAGTTGACGGTCAAACCCACAAAATACTAAAAACACAACTATTCTTTGGAGTCTTCCCATAATTATCTTCCACGAAAATAACACATAACAAAATTTTCATCATTACAAGAAAACAAACATCGGAATCAGAATAATTAATAATCAGAAAGTAGAAGAGAAAAAAATGTAGAAATATATCCATTTTCAATCGGCAAAGTGTAAAAGCAGTCAAACTCAAAACAACTAGTAATTTATCCATTATTGTTCAAAGTAAGATGCCTGAACAAATTGAGAATTTCATATATTAACAAATAAATTCGAATCAAATGCTTTCCCTTTCCTCACGGATTAATCCATCATGGACCAAAATCGCCATTTTTGTGTAGTTATTTAGAAAAAATGAAACTCCAAAACAAAAAAAGAAGCCAAAACTGTACCTGAACATAGAGAAAAGGATCGGCAACAAAGTTACTCGGAAACCCAGAATCAGTAACCGAACCACAAGTAACAATCGGGTTAGCCACCGGCCATGCTGCACTTGTGTTCTTCCAAACATTCATCTGAAAATCAAATCCCAATTCGTAAATCAAAAACCCAATTTCAAACTTCAATCAAATTTCGAATTTCGAATTTCGAATTACTTACAGTTTCAATGGGTTTAAGCGAAAACGGCGAATCGCCATAGAAAACTCCAATTGACCATGAACCTTCACTGTCTTCTTCACAACCCACTGAATAATTAGGGTTCTTGTACATCGTATACGTATACAAAAACCCAATTGAACTGAAAACCATAAACGAAACAAACAGAAAAGAGAGAGTAGATGAAACGCCGCCATTATCGTGCACGCGCCACCACCGTAGGCGTTGGGTTTTCTCGGTTGGTCCGCCTATAACGCCCACGCTTTGTGTTGATACCATGTCGCCGGAAAGTTAATTTAAAGAAAAGGTGATGGAAAGAAACAAGCAATTAATTAGTCGGCGGCAACGAGAGCATTTTATATGTGAAAATTTGAAATTTGAATTGGTGAAACTGGGAGGATTATGTTTGAAATTTTTGAAAGGGTGGTTTGATTTGTGCTTGAAACTAACCAGAGAAGGAAAAGGTTGAAGAGAAGAGGCAGTGGGTGTAATAGTTATAGGGGGAGGAGGAGAAAACGTGGCTGCGTGCGTGTATTTGTTGACGACTCTGTTTGAATTTACAAGTTAGACAAAGACGGAGAAATAAAAGTTCTTCTGGAGTTTTCACATTGACCCTCATGTTAGAACTATTTAAAGTATAGTCCATACAAACTATAAAATTTAACAATTATAATAACCATATATATATATATATATATATATATATATATATATATATATATATATATATATATATATATATATGACAAATTTACAAAAATGATCTATATGGTTGTCAAAACTCTGAGTTTGGTATAAAAAAGTTTGGTGGTGCATCAAAAGTCAAAATTTTGATATCTTTTGTGATTTTTGTCTTATAGTTGACATTTTTGTGGTTTTAGTTCATACCCTACTTGAAATGACAAATATGCCTTTCAATAACTGTTTTTAATTTCTTTTAACTATTTTATTATTATTCTAATTAAAAATAAATAAAAAATAAAAATCTGTAACATCCCAAAAACAGTGATAATTTTTTTTCATTTTAAAATCATTAATTTCATACATCACATGTCTCAAAGTCAACCGCGATACAAAATGTGAAAGTCATCATAGTAAAAATAATTATAAGTGTGGAATCATGAAGGGGGATGTTGTGTCGTTATGTTGGGCCTTCCCTTTCGTACCGGAAGTACCTGAAATCATAAACATATACTGTAAGCACAAAGCTTAGTGAGTTCCCTAAAGTACCACATACCATACATACAGTTGGGCTCAGCCTTGGGGTATATTCCAACCTAACATACAATCATGGGCCTAACCCTGGGGTATATTTCAACCCAACATACAATCATAGGCCCAGCCCTGGGGTTTCTTTCAACGCAACATACAATAATGGGATCAACCCTGGGGCTTAGCCTTGGGGTTTCTTTCAACCCAATCATACATGTATGAGTCACAAAGATAACTAGCAACCTACTTAACACAATCCAGTGGGTCAGCATTGGTGCTTTCGACCAACAAGTACAGTGAAAAGACTCACCTCTCAGTCAATGTGTAACACCCAGACATCAATTATTTTCCTTTTACACCAAAAACTATTAAATTGTTGCAAATTGGTCCTTACGACATGCGTACTTGGGGCGTACATATGGCGTAGTTCATTAAAAAGAGGTGTGGAATCATGTGAGTATGCAAGACATACTAGGCTGGAGGGAAAACCATAATATTGAGGGGTTGGGACCCATTTAAGCAACCTTAACCCTCATAATCCCTTCCACCCTCAGCCTCAATCCTCCCAAAACGGCCTATTGCAAACCCTAGTGTTCATTGTGTGTTTTTGAACCATTTCTGTATTTTGTGTGCATCCTTGAAGGAAGAAGATCTTTAGTGTGTTCTTGGAAAGCTTGAAGCTTTATAGATCTGGGTTTTGCACCTCTCAAGCAACCTTTCAAAAGGTATAAAGTCATGAACTTGGTGAATGTTTCTTTAGATCTTGCTTTCTCTTAAGTTTTGTGCATTTTGGTCCTATAATCTTGGTATATATGAGTATGGATTACTCTAGACCAAAGGAGTTGTCCTTTCAAATGTTTTTGAGTGTTAGGAGCCATAAAAATGTGATCTTGGTCCCTTTCTTCCCTCCATGCACGAACTATGGAATTTGGGTTTGTGTAATAAGCTAGGGTTTTGGTTTTTGGACTCCTTCTAGCCATGGAAAGTCATAAAGTTTGAAACTTTATGACTTAGAATGATATTTGGGACTAGATCTGAGTTATAGACGTAAGGTCTTAATGTATTAAGAACTTAAAGAAGAGTGTGTCAGGATGTAAGAACATCGAGCGTACCTTAGGGTACCCAGCGCATACTGGTGGAGAGTCCCATTTTTTGGGAAGGCACCTCTACTCCATGTGTAGTGACTGAGTACACATGGCATACTAGGTTGAATCCTCCCAAAACGACCCCTTGCAAACCCTAGTGTTCATTGTGAGTTTTTGAACCATTTATGTATTTTGTGTCCATCCTTGAAGGAAGAATATCTTTGGCATGTTCGTGGAAAGCTTCAAGCTTTGTAGATATGGGTTTTTCACCTCTCAAGCAATCTTTAGAAGGTATAAAGTCATGAACTTGGTGAATGTTTCTTTAGATCTTGCTATCTCTTAAGTTTTGGGCATTTTGGTCCCATAATCTTGGTATATATGAGTATGGCATACTCTAGACCAAAAGAGTTGTTCTTAAAAATGTTTTTGAGTGTTAAGAGCCATAAAAATGTGATCTTGGTCCCTTTCTTCCCTCCATGCAAGAGCTATGGAATTTGGGTTTGTGTAATAAGCTAGGATTTTGGTTTTTGGACTCTTTCTAGCCATGGAAAGTCATAAAGTTGGAAACTTTATGACTTAGAATGATATTTGGGACTAGATCTGAGTTCTGGACATAGGGTCTTAATGGATTAAGAACTTAAAGAAGAGTGTGTTATGGATGTAAGTACGTCGATCGTACGTTAGGGTACGCAGCGTATACTGGTGGAGAGTCTCGTTTTCTGGGAAGGCATCTCTACTCCATGTGTAGTGACTGAGTACGCAGGGCATACTCGGTCTGTGTTGACTTTTGATTTTTGGACTTTGACTTTTGACCAAGTTTGACTTAGGGGAATTTGGGTAATTTGAATAATAGTTTGAGATTAGGCCCCTGTTTATTGTTAGACTAGTAGATCTGTATGATTACCCTTGTTCACTGAATATGTGTTAGACCAGTATATATGTATGATTACATGTACTTGTTGGTTATTGATTGTTATTGTATATGTCGACATGTTATGGTTTGTTAGGTTGAGGCCGTCCTGCTTTGTGCTGAAGGCCAAGATACCTGGGGTGGCCCAGTTAGGCTTTAGGCCCTACGAGGCGGTCCTGTCAGGCCAAAGGCCCGGAGAGCGGTCCAATTACATTGTAGGCTCTATGAGGCGGTCCAGTCAGGCTAAAGGCTCATATATGCATGTTGTTATCTGTTTGGTTGTGTGTGGTACTTTAGGGGAAGTAACTAAGCTTCGGCTTACAGTTTGAATTTACGGTTTTAGGTACTTCAGAGGACAGGGGAAAGGAGAAGGCTTGATCGTGCACATCATTCTGGATTTTTATGAGATTATGATTTTGAGATACTTTGATTCATGTTTATAACTTTTGGAAATTATGTTTTGTAAACATTTATTGTTTTGGATTTGTTTCAATAATGAAAAATTTTACCTTTATTTTTAAGATGTTACAAGTTGCTATCAGAGCCCTGGTTTGAGAGAATTGGATGAGCATTTTTGTGAATCCAGACTCAAACTAAGGACCTGTCGAAGTTTTCAAAAGTAACCAAGGAAGGATGAGATGTGTACGATCAGTCGGAGCAAGCAAGTATACCCCAATATACCCACACTGTTATTTTATTATGATGATTATGATAAAACTACATGCTAGTTGTAGACTAGGGATCTTCAAGAATTTCATGATAGAATTACCTAAATTGTGATTCTTAATAGCCTAGGAGGTTTTCTTGCATGCTAGATGGAATTGGCATCATTACAGTAGTTGGTTATTATATGTACCATAATGGTATATAACTAAGATTTTATAGCCTGAGAATGTTTGTAGCCTTTTTTCCTATTCCTTGTTTGGTTGTAGGCTAAGGGTAGAATCAAGTATTCGACTATCTATGGAATCCAACGTGAGGAGGTTTAGTCACTCTTGAGAGAATGTATATGACGTATGCGTATCCTAGATGTTGTGTCTTGCAATCGGATGGTCCGTGACAACCCTTTGATACAAATACGGGTAGGTATGGAATGTAGTATGGGCCTATACTACTGGAAGTACACGACCCTTACACATAGCAAGGAAGTCACGAACTCCGAGGGTCCAGTCTTTCTGTAATGATTGTAATAGTATGAATTGTGGCATTTCTGATGCATATTTGGTTCATTTTTAGTATGGTGTACACAAGAGGTTCTAGATCAGGAGCTGGCAACCTGAAGAGGCCAGGATTGAATGATGATGAGATTCAGGAGTTGATCTCCATAGAAGTAGCTGCAGCTGTTCGGGGAGCTATCCTAGAGGTTTTTGGGTCTATTAAGACTGTGATGATTGAGATGTTTGATGAGCGTTACGCCGCTGTGTCTGAGGCTACTGTTGTTGTAGCTACCGCCGTTGTTGCTACTATGGGGGTTCAAGGGAGAGGGACAGTCCGGTATCGGGACTTCAACAACACGAATCCCCCGGAGTTTGATGGGGTCAAGGACCCGATCATGGCTATGAGATGAATTTCTGATGTGGAGGGATTCTTCTTCACTTGTTCCTGTCCGAAGAACTGGAAGGTCTGGTGCGCCCTGAACTTTCTTCATATGGGCATGAAGGACTGGTAGACCTGGTAATGGGGCGGGTTTGGAGCGAATCGACCTTGATCCAAACCCTTTTAACAAATTTCAAAACCGGATCCAAAACCGCTCCGTAACCTGCAGGGTTTTGAATAATCAAACACATACCCTTATCCACCGAATCAGCAGATATCCAAACCCACCCCGTAATCCGTAGGTTTTTTGAATAATCAAACACATTTTACTTAAATCATAAAATCACATTTGTTAAATAAAACAAATGTTGATTTAGAAAACACATTATGTACTCGAAGAGTTTCGATTGGAATTAAAATCATTATTGTAGTTACTTCCGATTGGTTTTTGACCCTCGATTGCATTGATAGAGAATAGCAATTACAAACTTTATTCCGGTTGATAAATGAATTTATTGATTTATAAATGAAATTGGTGATTACATGATAAAATATAAATGAAATGACATCATGATTCTTAGGAGAAGACTGGAAGTCTAGAATTTGAGTCCTCGAGTCCGATGTAAAAACAATTTAGCCTTTGGTATTTTTCTCTTTGGACTTTCGATTTGAATTTAAAGTAAATTTAGCCAGTATAAAATATAAATGTATAATTTTAAAATTTATATGGGGCGGGTTATAAATGGAGCGGATCAGTGATGATCCATACCCGACCCTTTTAATAAAAGGGTTAGCGGGTATGGGTCGTTAACGGGTAAACGAATCAAAAACTATGCTCCAAACCCGTATA